TCACTTGTAAAGGTACACAGACAGACTCAGAATACTGTCTGCACTGTGGTATGCAAACAACTCATATCTCTCAAAATCAATATACAAAAATCAGATGCATTTCTATTTGCCAACAGCAAACAATCTAAAAAAGAAATGGAAAAAACAATCCCAATTCCAATAGCTGCAAAAAATAAAATACCTAGGAATTAATTTAACCAAAGAAGAATTTTTTACAATAAAAACTAAAGAAAACACTGATGAAAGACATGGATAACGACCACACAAAAATGGAAATATAACCCATGTTGAAGAATGGGAAGAATTAATATTGCTAAAATGTCCATACTACCTAAAACAATCTGCAGATTTGATGTAATACCTATCAAAATACCAATGACATTCTTCACAGAAATATTTAAAAAAAAACAATCCTAAGGCTCATATGGGCCCACAAAAAGACCCCAAATAGCCAAAACAAACCTGAGGAAAAGAATAAAGCTAGAGGTACCACATTACCTTTTCAAAGTATACTGTAAGGTACAGTAAACAAAACAGCATGCTATTGGAATAAAAACAGACACATAGACCAATGGAACAGAATAGAGACCCCAGAAATAAATCCACACATTTACAGTCAACTGATTTTTGACAAAGGTGCCAAAAAATGTTATTGGGGAAAGGACAGTCTTTCCAAAATTTGGTTCTGGGCAAACTGGATGCCCATATGTAAAAGAACAAAACTAGGCCCCTATTTCTCATCATATGCAAAAATAAAATTAATTAATTATTAAAGATTTAAATGTAAGATCTGAAACTATAAAACTACTAGAGTCATTCAGGAAATACCTCAGGACATTGATCTGGACAAAGACTTTTTTGGGTAAGACTTCAAAAGAACAGGTAACAAAAGCAAAAATAGACAAACAATTACATCAAGCTACAAAGCTTCTACACAGTGAAGAAAACAATCAACAGAGTACAGAGACTACCTACATAACGGGAGAAAATATTTGCAAACCATTCATCTAGCAAGAGATTAATAGCCAGAATACATACGCGACTCAAACAACTCAATAGCAAAAAACATAAATAATCCAATTTTATAATAGGCAAATGCTCTGAATATTCATTTCTCAAAATAAGACATACAAATGGTCAATAAGTATATAAAAATTCCTCAACATCACTAATCATCAAGGAAATGCAAATCAAAACCACAAGGACATGCTATCTCACCCCAGTTAGAATGGCTATTATCAAAAGGATAAAACATAACAAATGGTGAAGAAGATGTGGGGGAAAAGGAATCTTTGGACAATGTTGACAGGAATGTAAATTAGTATAACTATTACAGAAAAGAGAATAGAAGTACCTTAAAAAAACTAAAAATAGAAATACCACATGATCCATCAAATATCATTGCTGGGTATATATACAAAAGAAGGAAAATCAGTATTTCAAAGAGATATCTGCAACTCCCATGTTTATCTCAGGACTATTCACAATAGATAAGATATGGAATCAACTTAAGTGTCCACTGATGGATGAATGTATAAAGAACATGTGATATGCAAAAACAAAATTAATTAATTATTAAAGACAAATGTAAGATCCGAAATTATAAAACTACTAGAGTCATTCAGGAAATATATATAATGGAATTTTATTCAGCTATAGCAAAAGAACAAAATCCTATCATTTGCAATAACATGGATGGAACTGGAAGACATTATGTTAATGGAAAGAAGCCAGGCACAGAAAGACAGATATTACATATTCTCACTCATATGTGGGAGCCAGAAAAGTTGATGTCATGGAGGTAGAGAGTATATTGGTGGTTACCAAAAGTTAGAAAGTTTCTGGGGAGAAAAGGAAATTGGTTAATGGGTATAAAAAATACAGTTTAATAGAAGAAATAAGTTCTAATGTTTGATAGCACAGTAGGATAACTATAGTTAACAATAATTTATTGTGTAATTCAAAATAGAAGATTTGGAATTTTTCCAACAGAAATAAATGATAAATATTTTGAGATTATGGATATTTCAATCACCGTGATTTGATCATTATATATTGTATGTACATATAAAAATATCACATATGCCCCATAAATATGTAAAATTATTATATATTAGTTTTCTTTAAAAAAAAACAAAAAGAAAACAAACAACCCACTTAAAAATGGAAAAAAAGGATATGGACACTTCACCAAAGATTTTATATAGAAGGCAAATAAACATATGAAAAAAGTTTCAACATCATTATCTTTTAGCAAATGCAAGTTAAAATCAAAATGAGATACCTAAGTGTTGTAATAGCTAAAATTAAAAAATGCTGATACTATCAATGTTTATGACCATGTGGAGCAACTGGAACTCATATATTACTACTGAAAATGCAAAAAGGTATAGAAATTTTGGACAATATTTTGGCATTATCTTATAAAGTTAAGACGATACCTACCATGAAACATACGGAAAATGAAAACATAGTCTCAAAAAATCCTGTACTGGAATGATCACAGCAGCTTTATTAATGAGAGCTCACAACTGGAAACAACCCTGATGTCCATTAATTGGTGAATGGGTGGTATGTCAATGCAATAAAGTACTACTAAGTAATAAAAAAGAACTACCTAATGAAACATGCAACAACATGAATGAATATCAAAGACATTATGTTAAGTGAAAAAAGTGAAACGCAAAAGATTACATACTGTACGCTTTCATTTATTTAACATTCTAGAAAAAGCAAAATTTTGATAAAAAAAGGAGATTGATGTTTGCCAGTGGCCAGCAATAGGGGTATACATTGACTGCAAAGAAAGAATGAAAGAACTTTATGGAGTGATATAAAATGTTTTATGTCTTGATTATTATGGCTACACAACTATATACATTTATTAAAACCCATCAACATAGGCGCTTAAAATGAATGAATTAATCTTAACGTATGTAAATTATATCTAAATAAAACTGGTGAAAAATAAAATCAAAGAACTAACAAAAGGGTAAACAACCTATTTTTAAAAAAAAGAAGAAAATTATCCATAAAAAAGGATAATACACTGTGACTATGTGGGGTTTATCCCAGAAATAAATACGAAGTTCATTTAACATGAAAATTATTTGATCCAATCCACCATATTAACATATTAAAGAGTAGATGCATGATCCCAACAGATCAGCAATCCTTTTAGCCCCCTAGAGGACATTTGACAATGTCTGAAGACATTTTTTGTTTAACACAATTGGGTAGGGGCTGGTTGCTACTGGCATCTAGTGATTAGAGATCAGGAATTTTATTAAACATTCTACAATGTACAGGGCAGTCCCCAGTGAGAACCACTATTCTATAATCTACTTTCCTCATTCAACATTATATTTGTGATATAAGGTACATCTAGTCTGCTATTTCTTGTTACATAATACCCCACAATAAGCATCCTCCATATGATTCTTATCCATTTATCTATCTCCCTGGTGATAAACTCCTAAGTTGCTTCTAACTGTATTCCACCACACAATCTGTACTTCACCATGCAATCTACAACAGCCTTGTATGTGCTCCCTCATGGACCTCTATGAGAACTTATCTGGGATGTACATTCAGGAATGAAACCACTAGATCATACACATGCTTAATGTTTATAAATACTGCCCAGGTGCTTTCTGGAATGGTTGAATGAGGATACATACCATGCAGGAAAGAGTTATCATATCAGGCCTGAGACTGTGATTCTTAGAAAGGCCTGCTTGACTAGCTTTCCCTTGACTGGCATCTTAGAACCTGGCTCTCAAGAGGGTTCTCTACCATTCCCTGATGAGGGTAGATCTCTGTGCCTAGACTGCCTGAACAAACAATGTGGTTTAGAATACTTGCTTTCTTTCTGGGAGTCTAGAATTTCGGTACATGCTAGACAGAGGATGCCTACATGACCAGCCTCCCATAAGAACCCTGGACACTAAGAGGCTGGAGTGCAGTGACATGTTCACAGCCACCACAGCCTTGACTTGCTGGGCTCAGTTGATCCTTCCGCCTCAGCCTTCCAAGTAGCAGGAACTACAGGCATGTATCATCATGCCCAACTTATTATTTATTTATTTATTGTGGAGATGAGGTCTTGCCAAGTTGCCCAGGCTGGTCTTGAACCCAGGAGCTCAGGCAATCCTTTCAACCTGGCCTCCCAAAGTACTGGGATTATAGGCGTGAACCACTGCACCCGGCAGGGATGATTTTTCAAAACTTGTGCCTGGTTTCCTCTGAACATCACCTCATGTGCCTTTTCCCTTTGTTGACTTTACTCTGAATCCTTTTACTATAATAAATTATAGTCATGAGTATAACTATATACTGAGTCCTGTGAGTTCTCCTAGTAAGTCACCAAACATAAGAGTGGTCTAAGGTATCATTCCTGCACACATACTCCTATAAGCAGAGCAGTGAAATTTCCAAGAAGATTTACTTTTAATTGTACGCTTTTGTGTGTAATTTAAATTTTATATCATGAACACATATTAAACTTTAAAAATGAGTACTCTATAAAAAGAGGGAGGATTGTGAAGACAACTAGATTGCCTGTGAATATGACTTTAAAATAGAGAACCATAGAGGTCATACAGTGAAATCTAGAGGGAATAGTTACCCAGACAGACATTAAAGTTACCCAGACAGACATAAAGACATAATACTCAAATCCTTACTGTCCTGTTTCCCAGAATTCCTTCCTCTATGTCCATATCTTCTTTTCCTACACTTGTTACTTTCCCTACTCCAGTGTTCTCCCATACATGCCTTGCAGGGACTTACTTTCTTGCTAACCATGGTCCCTTTTATATCTCAGATTCCTGGAATCTCCATGCAATAAATCTCTTGAATTCCTCCCAAAACAGAGTCTCATGGAAACTTAACCCAACAGGAACAGAAAAAAAGAAGCTGAAGAAAAATCCTACTGGTAACTATCAGGCAGGATAGTGAGAGGATAGGGGAATGGTAAAGAAAGAGAATCCCAGGCCAAATCACAACACTTTCCTAAGTCCTTGCATCATGGACAGACACCAGTGATCAAAATCGGGGACAAAGGAACTGGTCCCCCACTGCAGGACAAAGCAGCTGAACAAAACCAGACAACTCAGACGCTCCTTCCATTGCTTTCTAACACCTCTCAAAACTCTCCACAGATGGATAAGATACTTACGTGCTCTAGAAAACAGGGTCCTATCTCACTGAGGTGGGGGTCATCATTGTTGTACTGTTTTTCCAGGTCTCTCACAAAGCTCATCTGAAACCTGTAGATGTCTTCAATGTTCCCAAAAATTACCTTCAGTTGCTCATCGCTGAACATGTCCCTTCTCTTCCGGCACTGCTTCAGGTAGCCCTGCAGACAAAGAAAAAGGCAAGGATGAGGACAACCTCGACTCCCAGAAAGCTTTGCCACTTCCTAAGCACTTAGAAGCTCAACTTCAGTTCCATGAAGTAGTCATGGAATAGTCATTTTCATTTGTCATATGAGAAGATTGAGGTTTAGAGAAGGAAATCACTGCTTCAGTGAGTAATTAAGAAAGCTACCCCACCTTAGGAGGCTGAGGTGAGTGGATTGTCTGAGCCTGCGAGTTCGAGACCCACCTGGGCAACTTGGTGAGACCTCATCTCTACAATAAATCAAAAAATTAGCCGGGTGTGGTAGCGCATGCCTGTAGTTCCAGCTACTTGGAAGTCTGAGGTGGAAGGATCGCCGGAGCCCAGGAGGTCGAGGCTGCAGTGGCTGGGAGCAGTAACTGCACTCCAGTCTGGGCGACAGAGACTCCAACTCAAAAATAAAAAAAAGAAAGAAAGAAAGCTGGATTGCCAGCAAAGACCAGACTCCAGTGTGTAGGCGTTTTCCCTCTATTATCTATGACAAAAACCTGAAAAGTCAAAGACCTTACTCCCAGAAGCTGGTTGAACACAAACATTTTCACTTCTTAGCAGCAATTGCTTTAGCCAGATCCATTCAAATCTCTGAATTCCTTATATGGCCAATCAAAACGGTCTTCAAACATTGACAACAAGTTGGCCAACAGAGGCCAGAATAGGAAAAATTTTCACAAGGGAACAGAAATGGACAGAACCAAACCATTTCTTAAAGCAAATGTCTCAGCTGGCCAAGAGAGATATTTGGATGAGCTCAGCCAAGAAGTTCATATGTGCCTGGGCATGGTATTTGTAATAGGGTAGGTGTTTAAGACATATTTGTAAATAAATAAGACAAATCAATACAGCTAGCTATTGATGAAAGAGAAAAAGGGATGAAAGAATTTTTGGTCTTGTATGGGGGAATTGAGGTAAAACAAGCCAGACTCAGGTCACACTGTAAATCAGGGCAAAAAACAGCCTCAATATGAACTGGGTCTTCTATTCTGAACCTACTATCATGAATTTTTACCTGATGGCTACTCTCCTCATTGGAAATCAGTAGAAATAATTCGCACATAAAAATGTTCTTGGTGAGAATGAATTATGGTCACTTGCTTTCATCTAAAAGCTAAGGGAAATTTTCTTAATACCTTTTTTAAATGTTGAGCCCCTGATGAATTTTGTAGTGACTGATTCACCACATATAACCCTATCCCTACCCTCACTTTTTCTCAATTAACACAGTTATCCCTGAGGTCATCTGAGTATACTCCAAGAAGATCCTCATCCCTGACATCGGTGCAAATCTCACTTCCCTTATCTCTTCTCAACACAAAATTCAGCCATTAATTGGTAGGTATCCTTCAACAGTTGGCAAATTAATAGTCTATACCTGTGCTGACATCTATTTAACTAATGACTGACATGCTCAAAATGTCCTGCATTCTCTCATATTGAATTCTTGATCAGGAAGATGTCCCATATTTCCAGAATACCTTCATTCATGGTTCCTTAGTTTTTTCCATGACTTCTATTTGAAAGGTATCAGGGAAGAAACCAAACACCATAAAATTCTCAAAATGCAACAAAGTTGTTAAAACTCAACATCAGCACAGAATACAATAGAAATAAAGTGATAAAGTGGTCTCAGGAAAAGAGAATAAATGGATATGTCAGTGTATCTTCTTAATTCCCCAACTATATTATTTATTGCCCTTGTCACAAGGGGACATTAAACTATATGTTAGGAAGAACATTACTGCCTATGGGATGATAAGACCTTAGTGTGTTTTATCAACTGTTCTTTCCAATGGCAATGCTAATGTGTGTGTGTGTGTGTGTGTGTGTATGAGAGAGAGAGAGAGAGAGAGAGAGAGAGAGAATATATATATATTCTGGTACATTTAGCTTAATGAAATATAACATAGCAATTAAAATGATGATTAGAACTGTGAGAAACATGAAAAAGTGTTTATGATATAATGCTAAAAAGCAGAACACAGAATGGTATATCACTGTGATTACAACTCTGTAAATACACACACACACATACACAGATAGTTTTGAAGGAATTATGCAAAAGCACAATTCTGTTACATTTGTCAGGTTCTGGCTGATTTTGTTCTTATTTTTAAATTTTCTCTAATGTTGTTTAACTGCTTTCATGATTAAAAATGGGGGAAAAGTCTTTGCCAGAGAGTATAAAGAAAAGAAAATAATAACAACAAGAAGGTTGCCTTGAGTGCAATATTATCAAGTAACAAGGGAAGGAAATTCAATTCAATGTCTTTACAAAATCTCCTCCGGCCATAGTGTTTAAGACGAATGATTCCCTGGAAAGATTGCAAATAATAGATGGGAACGTCCCTCCCCAATCAAGGAAATAAGGGATGGAACATAAGAATATGGGAATTGTTGGAGAACCCCAAAATGTCAACCTCCACTTCTATACCACACAACTGCCTAGGCTACTAGGAGAAGAAAGGTCAGGAGAGATGACTAGTTCTCTGGAGTCCTGCTTTAATTTTTTTTATCTCTTTATTTCGGTTGTCCTGAAGATATCAAATTTTCCACAGCAGTGATGGATAGAGGTTTGGATTTGGAGTCAATAAATACTTGTTTCTTCTCATTCACTCATTTTTGAGGGTAAGTTTAAGATGAGCTGCCAATGAATATGATTGCCAAAAAAACTAATACCATTTTAAATAAGGAAAAATAATAAATAGATTGAGAGGCAAACATGAGAGAGGTAATTGGAATGTAGTCAGACTAATGCAGGAGAGCAGCATTCAATCTAGAGTCACTCCTACCCCACCCTTTTCACTACTCAACTGGAGGGGTATGAGTAGAGTAGAGAGGGGATTGAAAAGCAATATCAGAGGATTCCAAGATGGTGATAGAGTCGGTCAGACTGTGTTAGTCTCTGTATAAGTGAGTGTGTGTAAGGGCAAATATGCTTACAAGTTGGTATATGAATGTCTGAGTGGGGACACAGGAACAAGTGACCCGAGCTCTCCTGCTGAAGTGGCTACCCTGTATCCTGCTCCTCGGATCCCAACATGATTTGTGGTCCAGAGGCAGGCACTATCATTGGGACCCACCTGGAAGAAAGTGGCCAGGAACAGCTGCTGCATGGTGCAGCCCATCATCACAGCCTCTGGCACCAGATTGGATTTAGCAGTGGGGACCATGGAGAAAATACAGTGGAGAGATCAGTTGCTGAGTACCAGTGGAGGAGAAACTGCAGAGACACCATCATGGTCTCTATCCTGGAGCCTAGGGAGAGACAGGCTCCTCCGTGCACACATGGGCAGTAAAGTTACCCCCTGAGACTGAGGGGTGAATTCAGCACATCTCTGAGGTTGATCATTGTCAAACCAGAGAAGATATCCCAGGTGCATTATCCCCAGAGAGACAGGCTCAATGCAAAACATAGCAGCCTTATCCTCCACATTGGATCATTCATGGGACTATGAGTGAAACTGGAAAAGAGGAGTTCAAGCCACAGCAGATGGGTGGGGTGAGTTTAAAACAAATTCAGCTACCTTCCCCCTGCAATAAGTGAGGCGTGTGACCCACACAGGATCACCTGATCAGTGTGGGCAGACAGGGATGAACACAGGTGAATTTATTAGGGGTGGTTCGTGGCCTCCACTTGACTGCACAGTGAGCAGGGGTTTGGGGTCTATAGGCCAGAGACCCCTCCCTTCTGCCATGAGCCAAAAGTGGCAGTGCTTGGGTCACATCAGCCAAAAAAAAAAAACAAAAAACCAAATTTCAGAAACTGCCACAAGAGAGTGCTCAAAGATAACAAACGTGGTTTTTCATTCTTTTTAACTTTTTTACTTTTCTTGTTCTCTATATGTGTGTATGTATGTGTGTGTGTGTATGCGAATTTTGTTTTATTTTGTCACAACTCATTCTTCTTACTTCTCATAAGGGTATATATGTGTGCAAGTGTCTTCATTTTGCCTGTTTTAGTTTTATTTTCTTTTTTAATTATTTTTAATTTTTAAAAAATCCTTTGTTTCTGGTTTGTCTACCTGCTAGTTTGTTTTTACTTCTATACATTGTCTTTTCTTCTCCTTTCTTTCTCAGTTCCTTTACTTTTCCCTATGTTTTTTTTTTCTTTTGACCCAGTGGGTATACATATGTTCCCATTGCATGGACATATGGTGAGGTGGTGGGAAGTGAGTCCTAAGAGGCCAACACCCCAGTCAGCAAACAATGTGATCTGCAGGCAGATTTTGAATCTTAGCACCCACCAATACACCTTATTCAAATCTCAAAATTGCAAAAGGAAAGCACAGCTCTCCACCCCCAACCTGGTTTCAAATGTAAACAAATCCGGAAGCTCTACCTAGGGAAGAAAAAGTGGTTGAACAAAGAGAAGTGAAAACTGTTGGCGGAGCTTAAGATGGCAACTGGACAGGTCAGACTGTGAGTCTCTGCAAAAGCAAGTGTCCATAAAGACTCCGTCAGTAGGTATGTGCTGGTGGGAGAATGAAAATCCATCTGAGGGGAGATCCAGGTGCATGCACCCGGGGCTTCGCTCTGAGGGTGACTACAAGCCCCCACCTCCCTGAGATTGGAGCTCAGGTGTACAAGATAGTCTGTTTTTTGTGGGACTCTCCTGAGAAAAGCCTGCCAAATCCAGCTGATTCTCATCACCTGGTGCCTGGCCCACACCATCACCTGTTATAGCAGATCAGCTAGAGCATAAGATCTGATCAGTGGAGAGAGAGAATCTGGAAGAGCCAGAGAGGTGCACCATGCCTGGTGAGGAGACACTGACCACAGCCATTTTCTCTGTCCCAGGAACAGGCAGAGACCTACATTGCTCCATCCAACTCTGCCCAGCTCCAACTTGGGAATTAAGGTAAGCTCATCAAACCAGGAGAGACAGAAGCCCCTCCTCCATGTTGAATTGGACACAGGTCATATCTGAGTGGCAGACTTGATAGACAGCAAGCTGGTTAAGTC